GAGGCAAATGGTAATAGCAAAACACAGGGAAGCGGCTCGGGGGGGGGGTAAAAAAGGTTTGTGTGGGGGGGGGGGGGGGGGGTGTTAAAAGCCTAATTTTTGGGTAGGGCGTGTTCATGTGAAATAATTTTTCCAGAAGGTCATGCAAAACTTACAGTTATCGAACATGTTTTAAGCGTATCATGTTGTGGCAAATAAAAATAATTAAAATTATGGGTAAAAGTCATGATGATTTTAAGATGTTTCCCATTAATGTATACAGTGGAAGCAACTCAAGGAAATGCATTATTTTCAACAATCACATCTTCTATTTTAATTACTAAATTAAGGCTTGATGAAGAGCTAGAAATCACATTGTTTATTAAATAGAATTGTCTCCAAATCAAAATAGTTCACATGGATCAAATTTCACCAACAAAACAAACAATGCTTGATGACTTACAAAACATTGCATCATTTACCCAATTAATAATTATCTTTCTTTAACAAGTTCCTATCAGTCTTTTTTCCAATTTAAAAGTTTTGTTCATTTAGCTGTACTTAAAGTCAATTCACTGAGGTTTGCAAATATAATTATGTGTTGAGGATTTGTATTGTACACTTAACCTCAAACTTTGCAAAAAGTTTTCAGATGTTGCAATTCTTGGAATGGATGCTTCTAGTTAACAAACCAACATTAATCTGTTTGAAAGGATGTTTCAAACTTTTAAATACATGTTATTAGTCTGCAAATAGATATTATTTCTATAATTAATAAAATTGAAGCATTGCTGTATAATTAATGCTTAAAACAGATTTTTGATCTGACTGAAAGACCATCTGGGGGAGGGACTTTTTACTTGGTGATTCTGAAATGAATTAACATGCATATTTGTTAAACTTAATGTAGTAAAACTCTTCCATTTTTAAATCCCTGATTACCAAAATATTCTTACCACCAGAAATCCAAAATTGTGCAAACCCATTCTAGTAACTCTATTAAAAATGTAGCCCCAATTATAGTCAATGAATCCAGTCATGAAAATGTGACTCAATCCAGCGGTACTAGGAAGTACCCCCCCTCCCCCACCACCACCACACACACTCACAGACAGTAAAAAGAGACAAAAATGGATGCATGGAAACAACTGCAAAACCATACGAGCAAGACAAGCACATATACATAAGATATATTCCCGCTGTTGCAAAACCACATTACCTAAAAAATACCCATTCCTAAATATATTGTCATTTAGTTTCCCTTAGCGATTGATGACTACTGCATATTTTCTGCCTCAATAGACCTTTTCACGATTTATGACCACATCTTGGCTGGGGGGCAAATGCCAAAATGTATTTTAAAAGGCATTTGTACTGAGATTACTTTCATGAAGTAAAAAGAAGAGATTCAGGTTAAAATGACAAAAAAACAAATTTTCAAGGTATTAGAAGTGCTATAAAGTCAAAAAATGGTCATGCTTATAAAATCGCTTATTTGAAATGCACTCTTAACCTGAACTCAAATTCCAAAAATGAAGCATTTTCGTTAAATATAAGCCGAGAAAACGAAGGCCAAAGTTGGTATCTATGAGCACTTTTTTGGAAATATTTATAATCACAGGGCTGAAATCCAATGCGATACTTTCTGTTGTTGACAGAAATGTTGCAATTTTCAAATGCAATAACGTGTTATGAGTTTCAAGTAAGCCAGGGCAAATTATAGCAAAATTTGCTTACATTCTGCTTCCCCAAATTAAGTACAATTGTTTTGATATTTCTAAATCATTCCTGTGGCAGTAAAAAGCCACATCACTGTAAGGTCGATGACAGATAAGGCCCCAATTTAATGATCTGTTATGCAAATTAGCACGTTGCTAAGGCTAAAACATTGTTTACGACACCATATTGAGAGCACATCACGCAACGAGCTCAAACAAAGATTTTCCTATTTTCTCGCCACTTTACGTGCTACAGTCGGGTCAGTGTCACAACAAACATCAACAACAGTGGTTTACTCGTAAGAATTCAAGATGGCGACGGAGAAAACAGTGCAGCGCGACGAAAATTACGGGTGAATTAGGGGCAATT